GAACTCACAAATCCTTAGCCTGTCCAATCCCTTCTCAAGAACCTCATTCTGCTTTTCCCTCTCTATAAACCTTCCTTTCAAACTTGTATCATCGACCTTCGCAACAAACTCTGAAAATAACAAGTAAAACACTAACCAAGAAAGAGTTTATTTTTGGGCTAAATGATATCGAAAGCAATAGAAAACATAAAACCATAAACAAACTCTGAACAACATTAAATGCTCAATGCTTAAAAACATCAAAGTAAACATGAAATAGGATATTCTTGTTGTACAAACCTCTGTTCTATCATGTGTAGGACAATTTCTATAAGCATATATGAATAAAAAATGAACGTTGATGTTGATAGGGGGAACTATATCTAGCTATACTCATCTCACATATATGTTTTTTGATAATGAACAAAATAAATGTTTTATGGTTTCTTGCACAACAAATGGCGTAACAATTGCTTTATCATTACTGTGTTCGTGCTTGAAATGCTTGATACATGTATTCATTGTATGTAAATGAATCAAAAGTTTAAGCATATTTCACATTGCATTTCTAGAAGACATAATCGATTAAACATTGTATATAATCTGTTATATTTCTTCAGATATCTGTATATGCTTAACAGGGGCAAAATAGATGTGTTGTAATCGATTACATTAGTTGTATAATCGATTAAAACACGTTACTATGCTAACATGTCTTTGTTAAGTGCACTAATATGTTTGGAATGAAAATTGATTTGGAAATGTGCTTAAGTATGGAATATAACGATCACATAAGTTTCTTAATCGGTTAAATTGTTTATCTTGTGAAAATCATTTTCATTAAAAGCCTTAACTGTCTATAACAGTCATATTAATTGGTGGTTGACTTGTATGATTTACATAATCGATTGCATGCACTGTTTGAGCTATTAAATCTTAAACAGATGTAAGAATGTTAAAGTAGAAGGGAAAACTTAACAGATTACATTAATTGCGTAATCGGTTAAAGTGCGTCAAGATTTCAAAATCCTATAAATAACTGTCCTGTGCATTGTTTCAATACAATTATTATCAAATCTCAAGACAAGCTTCGTCAAAACGGATATATCATCAAGGTGTATAAATAGAACATCTAAAGAAGAAGATGATGATGATGATGAAGAGATGAAAATGAAGAGCATTAAGGGATATCAGGAGTTGTGAATAATACTACACAATCCTAAGTCTTTTCCTATGTTGGTCTAATTCTAATGCCTTGTTTGTGTTTCTCTACAATTCTATTTTTCTTATGCTTTCTACTTATTCTACTTGTTGTATCCTAGTTGGACCTTACTGTGGTTTTCTGTGTGTTAGATTTTTATCTTGGGAGGTCGTTTACAACTTTTCTTCCTAATGGATTTAATATGTTAGACTTGTTGTGTGGACACTTGTTCTTTTCTACTTATGGTTTCTATCCTAACATTTGTTGTTTTGGTTTTCTTTCTACGCACATATTCAAGACTACTTCGTTTCATGTTGTTTGGTTATAATTCAAAACCAAGGGCTCTATAGAAGAACTTGTCTTGTCTTAACAATCTTTCCCTTTTTAATGTTTAACAAATACTTATGTTAACGTAAAAGATGAATCAGAGAAAGAATAGAAATATTGATCAGAGCAATTTTATCATTCTAGTCGTTCACCTAACATTTTATATCAGAGCATTTATACAAACCTGAATGCTCATTTAATCATTAATATAAGAGTATAAGATAGATATTCAATTTTGATCATAGCGATTTCTATCATATTAGACAATTATTTTGGAACTATTGTGTTTTGAATAAATTATGAAAGTTTAAGTGATGAGATTTTCAAAATACATTTATGCAGAATGATAAAATTTTTAAATTTATCGATTTTCGAATAACTCCTGACTATATTGTTCTAAAATTAAATTATTGAAAAGAGATAGATTTAAAAAATTGAAAGTTGAGTTAAGTTTGGTTAATTCATATACTTATTAAAAGAAAATGTTATAATTAAGTCCAATAATTATATTGATAATGTGTTTGTAATTAGGTATTTGCAAATAGATTCAATAAATAAGGTTTTTTTTTCATAAAAACAATAAATATACAGTACAGGAAAATTTATGTAAATTTGCATATCTCTATTTTTCTCTTCTCTTGTTTACTAACAATTAAGGAAATAAATAAATTTAACTTATAAAAAGAAAAAGTGCTAATATTTCTAATATTAACCCAATGTAAAACTAAAAAACATCACAAAAAGATAAATACACAACATAACGATAATAGAAATATTAAATTATCTTTTATAAGTAATATATCTAATATTATTTAATTATTGTTCTCGGGTTTGTTAAAAATATTATGTAAACTGTTCTATAGGATAAAGGATAAATGTTATTGAGCTGGAATCTAAGAGGGTCCAATCAGTTAAAAGTTGTGATATAAGAAGATTTTGAGGTAGATAAGAATGTTTGATGTTACGGTAACTTTTTTTTCTTTATACGAGCAAGTGCATGCCGAACACGTGTTTGTTTTACATAGATAAAAGTGACGGATGTCGCTTTTAATACTTCATCCATTTGATCAAACTATACTCTTAACGTGTTGGTATAGAAATTAATTTTAAAAATAAAATAAATTTAATTAATTAAATTTTAAATGATCCGTGAATTATAATGTGGTTAAATATAAGGCTGAATTGAATTGTGGGTTCTTCTTTAATTTTTTTTTATCACATATTTTCTTTTCAAGTTTAGTATCATTTTTCATGAAATCTTTAACTTCAATCATATCTTTAATTTTATATACATTGTATGTCTCTATTTAATTTTACATACATATCTTAGGTTTAGAATTAATTAGTAAAAGTTTTTGAAATAAATGTATGCAAGATTAAAGGTTAGAATGTGTAAAAAGTTATTAAAAAACAACAGGACAAAGATGGCTAATACTAAAGTTCTGACATTAATCTATCATTTTAGTAACAATTTATAACTAATAATAATATAAAATTTGTTCATGCATATATGTTCAATTTTATACCATAAGTATCAAGATTTTGCAGTATTTACTTAACATTTCTTTCTCTAAGAATGAGTAAAGCTTTTATATAGACAAATATGATGAAAGTTAAAAGGTTTTTGTTTAACTTACAATTTAGATGAACAAAAATGGTTGTCAAAGTTAGGGAATCCTCAATATTAACAGATTCTTAATTGTAACATTGTTTTGAAATTTCCTTTTATTTTTTTTATACCTGTTTATATTCTATCATGGATGAGAATGTGAATGAATACCAAAGAAGAAAAAAAGGAGGGAAAATGTGGTTAAGAAGAAGGATATAGTAGAAAATTTACTATTGATTTAACTAACTAAATAAAATAAAACAAAATAATTAGGTAATAACTGAATGAGCAAAATAGCCTTAATTAATATTTAAAATAAATAAATTAAATTTGAAATATGAAGTAATTATTTGATAGAAATGGAAATAATAATTTAAAATTAATTATTGTAAAACAATTATTGCAAATATTATTAAGAAGAGAAAAAAATTAATAAAATATATTTTTTAATGTTGATATTTCAAAAAAGTCAAAATATTATTATTGTTATTTTTTTCTATTATATTAAACATGTTTTTTATTAAAATATAGTAAAAATGTTAAAATTTTATGTATTTTTTATTTGTTGAAATTGGTAAGAAATAAAACTTTTACTACTATATTATTATTATTATATTATCACATTGAATAAAACTAGTAAACAATTAAGTAAAGTGAGATAAATATTTTAAATAAATAATATAAAAATTTACCTTCAACTTGGTAAAAAGATATTTTTAATAATATTTATTATTTTATTTCATTCTATTTTTAATATTATCATAGTAACACATAGATAAACATTTAACCAAATTCAAATAATAATAATAATAATAAACTATAGTTGAGGAAAGCTTAACAATGTTATTTTCAGTTACTATAACAATTTGTTTTGATTTAGTAAAGACATTCTTGTTAAACCTGTTCTTGTGGGCCACAACTTTATTGTTTTTTTTTTTTTTCTATTTCAGTGTTCTTTCCTTAAAACAAACTACTTGTTAGTATATTCTTCTAATTATATTTTTCATTAACAATTTTTTACTAAAGTATCTTAAACTAAACTTAAACATATTTTTACTCACTCCATATTTAGTTTTCTGACAACAAAATTTAGTTGATTTTCATTCCTTAAATGGTTGAAAATTCTTTGGTGTCTATTATTATTGGTATTGGTTAACTACTTATATGTTCTGTAACAAAGGCCAAGTTTTTATCCTAAATTACTAGCTAGTATATATTTTTTCCGATTTTTTTAAACTCTTAAAATAAATTTTATTTTTTTATAATTTTAGTTTCATGGAAAAATTAAATTAAAAAAAATATTTCATGAAAAAAATAAAATTTTCTTCATTCTTTAGAAAGTAAAATAACATTTTTAAAATTTTAGATAGCTAAAATATAAAAAAAAAATTAAGGCCTAAAATTAATAGGAAATAATTATTTTAAAAAAAAATTAATTAGTTTGATTTTAAATATTTAAACTTTTCTTCTGTGGGATGTAGTTGAATTGTTTGAACAGGAATGGAGGCAAACTCTTTTACATGTTTGTGAAATATAATTATTTTGGCTACTTTACAATAATATAATGTCTGGTTTAGGTTAAACTCCAAATAAATATTTAAAAAAAAACAAGTATTTTAAAGTAATAATTGGTTTGAATATTATATAAGATTTGTTTGTTAAAATAAGTAAAAAACAGTCTAGTTCAAAATAAGTAAATTATATAAGTAATAAAAGCAACTAACAAACTCATTAATTAATTATAATTAATGAAAAGATTAATCAAGAGTAAGTGAAATGTTAAGAAAAAGAAAAAAAAAAATAGAAATGGGACCCACAACAGGGCAGAGGAAAATCCAAAACAGGGCAAAAAGGAAACAGAAACAGTCTCTAAATGCACAGAGAACAACACGGAGCCATGCAAAGTTGCCGTTTCCAGCGAGGCCAACCTCTCTGTTCAGTCGTTTGAGGTAAAACGCTTTTCAGTGTCTTCACGAAGCCACCTTTTCTTCTTCTCTTCTCCTCTCTTCGACCAACTCAACAGGGTCTTTTTCTTTTCAACCTCAAACTCTGTCTTTCTAATCTCTGCTCGAGTTTGAGTTGGGCATGTCCAATGGGTCGAGGGAAGATCGAGATCAAAAGAATCGACAATGCCAGCAGCAGGCAAGTCACCTTCTCCAAGCGCAGAACAGGCTTGTTCAAAAAGGCTCAAGAACTCTCCATTCTCTGTGACTCCGAGGTTGCCGTCATAGTTTTTTCCAACACTGGCAAGCTCTTTGAGTTTTCCAGTTCAGGGTGCGTCTCCTTCTCTTCAACACCCCCTTGCATGTCCTCTTACTTTTCACTATACCCTTCTACCCTCTCACTTTTTTTCTTCTATCTCTTTGTATCTACTCTAAAGAATTAATCTTTTGTAATGAGGAACAACTCCTGGTTGTGAAAATCGTGACTTTCAAAAATTGTAGGTGATTTGATCATGATGTTGTTGCAGGGACAGGGACTTCTGTTAACATTAGTGGTGTTGTTTGTAAATGGATTTCAGATTTAAAGAAAAAAGAAAAGAAAATTAATTTGCTTTCTTTCCTTGATGGTGTGTAATGTATGAAGATTATTCTGATTCAATTGGTTTTAAATTTGGTGTGTATGCAGATGATTTTGATTTCAATTGTTTTAAACTTGGTGTGATAAGTACTTTTAAATATGGTGTATAATGTATGAAAGTGATTTTGATTCGATTAGTTTTAAGTTTGGTGTGTCTGATAAATTTAAGTGTGGTTGTGTATGAAGATGATTTTGGTTCTGTTGGTTTTGAATTTGGTGTGATTGGTAAATTTTGCAGTTGAGGACTAAAATTTAGAGCCTTTAGACTTGTGTGTTTAAAACATTTTTTGTGAGTGTATGATGGTTTTGAAGTGAATTATTTGTAAAAGGTTGAAAAATTCTCGGTTTGTGTGATTCTATTGCTGCTAAAAATGTCTGTTGTTTGAACTTCATTGGTGTTTGAACTTCTATCCACTGTTCAGCACAGCTCTTGTGAAATAAAATAATTCAGGGTCAGGGAACAGTTCTGGGCAGCTCCATTATGGGTTTGACTGTTATTGTTCTCAGTTTTATGATTTTGTTTTATAAAAATAATAAGCTAAAATTTTTAAAATTGCTTTGTGTGTGGCTCAATTTTAACATGTTTGTGAAGCTAATTTAATTAAAAATACTAAAATTTACTGTTTATACAAGCTTTCAAAATTCAATTCTAGAACTACTGTTCTGTCATGCAAGATATCTTTCTATGAAAGGCTTGATTCGATATTGAAAAATATTATGAAAGAGAGAAAATGAGTGATTTTATTTTGAATATTTATGTTGTTGAAAAGCTAATGTTAAAGGCAGATTATAAAAGATTTATACAGTTAATAAGATAGCCTATGGATAAATGGAAAGAGGAAAAGTAAAGTAAATGATTTGCTTTGGTGTATCAGTTATCTGTCTTTGTATTATTGTCTGTATAATACAACTGTCATTAATGTTTTCCCCTGGGGAAATACAAACTGCACTGATAAGACTGTCATGTTTGTGTGAGGTTGGAGCTGAAAGAATCAAATCATAAGTGAGAATTTTAAATACATAGGAAGGAAGAACTAAACATACCATGCCATAAAGGGTACATGGACCTAAGATCCTACTTAGAAAAGAACAGAGGCAGTTATGTCCTGTTTGAAATTATGTTGTCTTTTGTTTTGGTTGTGACTTATCAAATAAATATTTTGCTTTGCAAAAGTTTTGAAGCATGACATAATATTGAAGGAGTCTGTGAGAGCTTTTCCCTGGATTCATAAATCCTTAATAAAGGGTAAGATACAGAAAAAAGCAGTGCTGCTCCCATAAACTTATCTTTACTGTTCTTATTAGAGTTTATTCTCGTTTTGGGGGATTTTGACATCTCAGTCATCACTCTAAGCAACTTACAAACTTTTTTCAATTTGTATTCACTATTATCATGAGTTTGTCTAGCTATATTATTGTGTTGTTTTATCAATAATTTTCTTTATCTTCTCAGCTGGATGTTTGAAGAACAATTTTTTTTCTTGCATTCTATTAAACTAAACAGTAAGTTCATTGAAAGCTCTCACAGACTCCTTACATATTGTATTTCATACTTCAACTTCTCAGCTGGATGTTTGAATCAAATTTTGTTAAATTCAATAGTAAGCTTTAAGCACTTATTTATTAGTGTTATTAGTTGAGATGATCACATGTAGTTTTATGCCAAAGTTACTGCACATATTTGAACAAACTACTTAGTCAGGAAGAAGAAAAAATTAAAATTATTCTATAGAAATTCTTTCATGTAATTTCTTCAACTTTTTTATTTCACTCTTCTTTTTGTAAAAGTCTTTATAAGTTTGGAAAACCAAATAATGATAGATTTCATCATGATCCCTTCCATAATCCAAAAACACAGTACAAGAATAATAGTACAGTAAATAGATTACATAGACCTAACAGAATATCTTCAAACAAATGTTTAGTTACAGAAGGAAAATATATATAACTACTCTAAGAAATTAACACATCGGAGGGTATATTTATTTTGAATACTTACAAATCCTTCTTGCAGAATGATGCGAACACTTTCAAGATACAACAAATGTCTTGGTTCTACGGATGCTACTGCTGTAGCAGAAATTAAAACACAGGTACTCTCTTATACTTCTGTATCCTACTGACCTTCATGAAGGTTTCACTATCTTACAAGCTATTATTGTAGTCCACACAAAACTTTTGATCAAATCCATTAAAAGGACTTGAACCTGAAATGACCCTTTGAAGAAAGGGTTTTTGATGTAACACAATTGGGTTGTTTAATTAATGCTACAAAGTGGTATACAAATTTCATTGTTTTTGTTATGAAATAGTGCATTTTATTTTTGGCTTTTTATTATCATAAATAAGCAATATATTGGTTATAGTACAAACATTCAATTGCAAACTAGAAAATAATAATTTATTTTGTATAAAATAAACTTCTCTACTTTTGGTTTTCTGCTCATAAATCTCAAGTAACTCTATAAAGATCAACACTAAGAAAGGAAGAGGTGGAAAATGAGTGAGAATGAGAATGTGATTGAGTAGAGACAAATGTGAGGGCAGCAGAGAGTGAAGGCAGCAAAGAAAAATTTCCATATCTGATTTGTTTTCTTTCATTATCAAATTTTATCCTTTCTTCTATTTTATCCTTGTAATTTAAGTACTATTATGAGTATTTTCTACATATCTGCAGTTAATTTTATCATCTGCTAACTCATTTAGGGTTCCTGCTACAGTTCTTCTGTTGATTTAAGCAGCGCATCATTTCCTTATTTAAGATTCAGACAAAATTTAAATCACTCTAGTTCTTAAGAAAGACACTTATGTTTATTTCTGCACTACTTAAATATTATTAGGGTACAGCTTTAAATGAATATTTTTTTTCTAATATTCAAATTATATACTATTTGTATGTATTCAATTAATGAAATCTAAATTTAAATATAAAATATTAATATATGAACTAGGTTTGGAGTTTTACTAGCGTGCTTCAAATATGTGATTAGTCTCACAAAAATTGCATTTAAGTTCTCTTTGTGGATAAAATTGAATCTATCACCAAATTCTGGCATAGTTTGTACTTCACATTTAGACTAGAAGATTTGAGATGCAAAGAACTACAAGGAATTGACAGTTCTAGTTTAGAAATTGAATGATCCTTTTCTTTGACATTTTTAGATAATATCTTGACATTCTTGTGTTGTTTTGTAATATCAGTATTGTTCAAGGACAATTACTCTCCAAAACTAATCATTTATGCTGCATTATATCCCTCAGTAGACATTTCTGATGATTTTTTTGAAGATTTTTTGTATGTTGTAAAAAAGCTAATCACAAAACGTATAGTATTGCTCTAGCATGCAATTTTGTAGAAATTACTCCAACTGGAACTCTGCAATTAGTGATTAGATGTAATGTAAGAACCATGGAGTCAGGTACTGTATGATCAAACAATCCACTCCATTTTATCCACCCCATTTTCCCTTAAGTTTGAATGTTACCTTTCTATTAGCACTCAATACACTTCTCCATTTTATCCATCAATGACTTGAATCCTATCACTTGGTCTTCTCATTTTTTTTGCATGATACGTACTTGATGTGGTGTTCTCTGAAATTTTCACCATAATTACATAAAACAAGGGCAACTCTTATGTCTTGACATTCGGGTGCCATTATAGATAATCTATTAGGTAGTTTTGTTATCTTTGTTGCAAATACTTATTTTGCTTGACTGCATTGTTTTTAAAATGTCTTTCATTTGGTGCTTGCTTATCATCATTTCTCTTTAGATTTAATGGAGATTACTATACTGATATTTTTTTTCTTTAGAAGGAAGATTCTAAGATGGTGGACATTCTAAGAGAAGAAATTTCAAAGTTAGAATCAAAGCAATTGTATGTAATCTCTTGAGATTTTCTTTTATATTATGGTTATTTTGCATTCTCCTCTCTTTTTTGTGTTGATAGCAGTACAACTTACCTGTGACTATAGACAGTTATTGGGTAAGGATCTGACAGGATTGGGAATAAAAGAATTGCAAAATATAGAGCAGCAACTCAGTGAGGGGTTATTGTCTGTAAAGGCAAAAAAGGTCACATTTTTTTATCCCTTTTCCATTTCTGTATCTTGTTTTGTTTTTTCCTTTTCATTGAATGTCATCAGTAAAACATAGTTAATGTTTTCAGCTCAGAGAAATGTTTAACCCTTAATATTTAACCTTTCAGGAGGAATTACTTATGGAGCAGCTGGAGCAATCTAGAGTTCAGGTATCAGAATCAGATGTTTGGTTTATAAAGTTATAATAAACCTCACAGACCTAGGAGAATTGGCAAGGGAGTTTAAAATAGTTGAGAATATGTGAAAATGGTTTATTAATAGGTCTGATGTAGTGATATGCACCCTTAAAGCATTTAATCAAATCATGCACTCTATCAGTTTACATGGTAGTGAATATCTAGTAATTTGTAAACAATAAACCAATCCTTTCGGCTGGATAGTTGTTAACTTCAAACCCACCACGGCCCATTCTTAAGAGGCCACACAAGAACTCAAAAGTCCCTATAAACAAAATTAACAAGTTGAACTAAGGCCCAACTAGGCCTAATTTCAATATTGTAAAAAAGATACAAAAATCCTATTCTGAGCCTCCTTCCGTTTTCTTGATCTTCATGGATAGACCTCCATCAATAACATCGAAGTAACAGAATTTCATATTTGATATTTATGAACTGCACCAGATCAGCCTGTTAGACATTTCACATTGGTGTGCACATACAGTTGACAACCATGGTCCTCATATTAAAAGGCTGAAGTATTTGATTTCAGTGCTTAGAAATTTGTGGGTTAAATTGAAATGTGTATCAATTTCAGGATATAGTGAACTTGGGAATATACTATTTACTTGGTCATAGTAAGGGCAAGAGAAAAATGTTCCTTTTTTTCTGTAACGGTAACTTGTTTGGTCAATTCTTTCCAGGAACAGCGGGTCATGTTGGAGAATGAAACTTTGCGCAGACAGGCAAATATTATTCACTTTCTCTATGTTGTGTACAATGTTGATCTTCCAGCATCTTATCTCACTAATAGCTTTATCTTTCTTCCTATATCATGTTATAGATTGAGGAGCTTCGCTGTCTGTTTCCACAAACAGAAGCAATGGTTCCATTTCAGTATCAACGTCCTGAAAGAAAGAACACTTTTGTAAATACCGGTGCCAGATGTCTCAACTTGGCCAATAACTGTGGAAATGAGAAAGGAAGTTCAGACACAGTATTTCATTTGGGGTACTATGTTTTTTCAATTACCACGCCTTTAAAATAAATTGAGTAGATCTTCACAGCCTATGTTTTGTGTGAAACTAAAAACAATACTTTTCTTGATTTTCAAGGATAAAATACTTTCACTATGATTTGAGTTGCAGACAGTCTCAAGCGGCTGAAACCACACATGTTGTTCAGTACTGTCATACTGGTTTTCAATATCACATATATTTACAAAACAAGTGTCTTGCATGAATACTGCATAGGGTGATTTTGTGGGATATATTTTGAATTCAACAAGTTTTCTTGCATTAGTTTTTTGCATCCTTTTCTTAACCTCTTTCTCAGTTTTTTACCTATAGCATTTTCAGGCCTACCTAATAGTTTGTTAGCTATACACACTTTTTAGTGAACACTAAAACACTAGAATTCTGACTTTACTGTTGTTCATTTTCACAAAACACTACCTAATTATGAGGATTTTCCTCCTATTTTATGTTCATTTTCTGACTTTACTGTCTCATTCTTTAGGTTGCCTGCTGGTGTTCAAGAGGAAGGGCCCCAAGAAAGAAATCTTTTCAAATAACTTTTCAGAGTTCTGATTTTCTTATTTCAACAGGGAAAATAGAATTTCAGACATTTATTGCAGTTGTAGTTATGTACAATATAGATTAGGGAGAAAGGTTATGACTAAAAGTGACCCTCAAGTTATAAATTGGAATTTGGCTCTTTTAGAATATGCAGATTGACCATTTTTATCAAATTGTGGCCTAATTAACAATGATTGTGAAAGGTCTATTGAAGACACTGTTTTGTTTTTTTACTGTTCCGCATTAATCCTTCTTTATGTTTTCTTTCTATCTTAATCATAACCAAGTTACTTATTTCATCATTCACCAACTTCGATTATTTATTTTAACTGTCTTAAATGTTTAAGTTTATATACTATTCCACACTAATCTTTCTTAATGTTTACTTTCTGACTTAAGCATGTACAGTCAGCAAGTTGGTCGAATGATCCAAGGCCATTCTACATTTCCGTAGTCTTCTTGGTTCATGATAAGAGTTTTTTTTTTTTTTTTTTTTTTTTCTCTTACTGAGACAAATCATTTTTCTTGTCATTGGATGAGAATGAACCTAAACTACTAAAACAAAATTAAATCCTTGTTTCATTTCATTGCTTATTTTAAGAAGGCAATCGTTTTTATAGTAGAGATTTGTTGAGAATAAAAGTCATTACTTTGTTAAGTTTTCATTAACTACTTTCATTTTCTTAATTTCCTAGACATATTTTTGCTCTCTTTATGGTGAACACAAAAGTGTAAGAAGTTACATAATTCTGAAACATCCGAGAACAATTCATAGTACTATAAATTGTATCTTTACAACCATATCTTCTATGATTATTATTTCAAAAGTATTACAGTTGTCCTTCAGTGTGCAAATAACCACTGTATATAACATTACAGAAGTAATCAAGAACTACTGCTATATACATAATACATGATAACTACTGCTATATACATAATGTATGCTATATGATATCAGAAACTTGATTTCTGTGGCTGTTACTGTAGTTGAAAGCCGTCAATTAATTTAGATCTTTGAGTCATTACATTGGCAAAAAGATTATCCACCTCCTTGCTTATACTATCAGATAACTTCTCCAACACTTGCAGCTTGGTCTGCAATTCCTTGGCTGCATAGTGTCTTCTTACTTCATCAGCAGCAACAAGGTCAGTAACAGCATCGTTGACCTCTTTGATCTCAGCAAAGATGAAAATTTTCTCCATGAACTGTTCACCAATTTCGAAATCAAGTGTGGCAACTAGAGAACTATCAAACCCACCAGCAACTTTTCTCAGCTCCATGTATGACTTACCATCACCATATAAACAAGACAACAAAACCCCACATACCCAGAATCCAACACTCCTCATCTCCTTCACAGCCTCATGAACAATCCTCTCCTTGTCAGAGAAAACCCTTGCTTCCTCAAGATCTTTACCAAGGTTGGTACTGAAACCCCCTGGTTGGAATTGAATTCCTTTCAGATACTTTCTAGCCAAAGAAGGTGAGTTCTCCACCAGAGTCAACCCATGAGCCAGAGAAATCCTAGCTTGGCCAAGATGAGAAAGACAAGAAGAAATAGAATTGAAAAGCTCTAACAAACTCAAGGTGTAGCAGAGATACCCTTCGGTTGAACCAACCCCCCATTTGCTCATTGGGTAGTCCATATCTGCAACAAGCTTTGCAAAAGCCTTGTTGATCAAAGGCAAGAGAGCTAAACACCTTTCAAACCATGTCAAGGACAAGGTTTCTGATCTGGCCTTCAAATCCAATGCTAATTGGTCAATTGATTTAGACACATGGGATTTGAAAGCCAGAAGTGAAGAAGATGATGGTAACTCCTCTGGCTGAGGGTGTGTGATGGAATGGTGGTGATTCTCCAGCTTGAAGAAGCAATGTTTTGCTAGTTTCTCTATCAAAAGTACCATTGTTTTTCGGTTTTTGGAAGTTAGAACAGAGAAAGGCTTTAAAAAGAGGTGTTCACAACTCAAATTCAAACAAGTGTTTGAAAGTTTGGTTGCGTGAGTAAGCTTAAATAATAAATATCACGAGGACACGTTCACTCACACACGCATTCAGTATTAATTAGTATAAAAAAACACGCTTTCACTTACTACTAAAAAAAGAAAAATATAATTTAAAAATTAATTAGTATAACAAAATCAATTTAAAAAAAAATTATAAAAACTATAAACATTTATATACATAAAAATAATCATAGAATTATAATTTTTTTATTAATTTTATAATTTTTTAATAAAAATACCTCTGCAAAACAAAAACAAAAATTGTAATGAAATACTTATAAAGGAATAGTCATACGATAATTCAGTTTTTGAAAAAATTATAATCATTTTGTTTTCGGTAAGATTTTTAGATAATGAAAACTAAAAAACTCGTTGATGAATATACCTATGTAAATGTTAAAAAAAAATTGTCAACAAAAAAACAGTTATAATATTTCATCTTATAGATTATAAAATTCTAATATTCTAAGAAAAATTATAATCACATAATATAACACATGTTATCTCAACAAATTTAAAGATAAAATACAAAATAACATATTTTATTTAGAATAACAAATTTCACTTATATAATAAAATTGACATAATCATACCATCTTATATTATTTTACATTTTTTTATTTAATTTATTAGTTAGCTTATTAAGTACTTTTCATTTAAAAAATTAGTTTATCAACCAACTTGTAAGCTTTGTATAATAGATGTTTTCATTTAAAAAATTAGTTTATCAACCAACTTGTAAGCTTTGTATAATAGATGTTTCTACAAGAAAAACATATATTAAAAACACAAAAGAAACATGGGATACATGAATTTGGCGGCGGTCAAATGTTTTTATCATGTATGGTTTGCGTAGAACTCAGTTTTGCGTTGAAGTCTAAACTTGAAAAGCTTTAAACACGCTGTTGCACTTCAACTTGACAACACAATTGGGTTGGCTTTCGGGTCCACTTCTCCAAATTGTGTTTTTCAAGTGTCATTCACATTCTTTGACCTTTCACTAAGAATTTTCCATTCTAAAAATGTATTCTTTCAGGTCAAATATTCTGAAAAAGGCACGTGTGAGTAGAACATCCACGAACCTTTCGTAATTACCGAATTAAATTTCTGAAATAATTTAAAGTATATTAACCTTTGTTTTAGTAATCTTATCCTAATGTTAAATGTTCTAGAATAATCTTTTGGGATGTTTAAAAAGTGATTAAGGATAATTCTGTCTTTTAAAAAATTGATTAGGGTTGATGTAGGAAGGTTCCAAGTGGTTAACAGGAAACAACAATGTAGGTGTTTCTTTTTTAGCAAGATAGTGTAAAGTGGTGAAGGATGAGTTTTGACTTTCTACCAAACTTCACACAGTATATTTTAAGTTGCAACAGAATTTCTTTTTTTCAATAATATACCTTTTTCTTGAAGAAATTTATGGGGACAATAATTCATACCTAGATTATTTTATAAGGTAGACCTATTTAGTCTTCAAATTCAAAATTCACTCTCAAACGGTTACATGTTTAATGTATTAAAAGAATTAAAAGAAATAAATTTTAAGTTTAATTCATTTTTATAAAATTAAATTAAATTTAAAATTTATAATGAAATGTGTTATTTATTAAATTTATTATTTTATTTGTTACTGAATTATTATTAGATTATTTATTAATATCTAATCTTATATTAAAAAAATATTTTAATTTGAAATATATATATATATATATATATATATATATATATTTATACAATTCAAAAAATATATATATATTTTAATGCAAGAAGAGTGTATTGGAAGTCTTGTTTACTTAATCATAACAAAATTCACAAACTTAGAGTTATGATCTTTTGCTGAAGGATGCTTTTAACATCTTCTATACAACATGTTTTTTCGTAATCATGTATCTACATTACGATGTCCTATGCCATGGGTAAAGCCATGGGTAAATTAGGTGAACATTTAAGTTTCTGTACAACTTGTTAGATATAGAGATTGTTTTAGGCATGTACCATGGTGTTCTTATGAAAACAGGGACAAATGTTATTTAGGGAGGCATTGAACCAAATAAAGAAAGCTATAGGAAATTTGTATTAAATGGGTGAAAAGAAATGGGAGAGTAACGAAATGGGCAACAATGCATTAAGTTCATCAAAATGAAACGCTGATTACCACCTAAAGGAAATAGACTACCCACCTTTAACTGGATTGGACAAAAGCAGGGACATTGCTACCATGTAAAAAAATGAAATCAAATCTTTTACCTCATGCATAGATTTTTTTTTGTTAAAGGAAGTAAGAGTTTTGTAATTTATGTTGAGTTTAATATTTCTTTATTTACAACTATATATATATATATATATATATATATATATCGTCTTTTGTTTTTCTAATTTTACTCTTTTAATTACTACTTTTTAAATTTAAATAATTATTTATAATGTAAAAAATATTTTTTGATTTAATAATTTTAGTAACTATTTTTTTAATTCAAATAATTACTAATTATAAAAGAATTATTTACTCGTTTATTATTTTAAATAAATACTCTAAGAACCTAGAAAATGGAGTATTAGAATAGATAGATGTTTTAAAATAATGAGAGCAATTATTTTATTTTAAAAATAAGTCGATATTGTAGATAAAATTTCATACAGTCGTCTCATCACTTAAAACACATTTTATCTCTCTAGAACTCGTTTCATAAACTCTCTCTACCTTCTCTCTACATTTTCTTACTCTCTGATCTTCTGTTTGACGATCAGGAGGTTCTTAGAGGATCACAGTGAAATACTCTCCACTTTCAACTTATTGATTCTCTGTTTAGAGTAAGTAAGTTTCTACCCATTTTCTCAGTCTATCTTAGGTCTATGATCATGCGTACCAAAGTTGCTCGCATGTTTCAATTGAGCTTCTTCTTTGGTTCTTGGTTAATTATGGGTCCTAAGATTTCATCTCAACTATCATTCCATAAATTGTAGGTGTTTTCTCAAAATTCTTGGTGGCGGGAGCGTCGAGCGAGAAATTGTTGAACTATTTTAGTTTTTCCTAAGATAAGGGAAGCTAATTTGCTTTTCATAGGTATAGTAAGATGTTTGAAATCTGTGGATTTTGTGTATGTCATTATATGGTAATTTATGAGGTTAAATTTGGGGAAAAGTGTTGAATGCTTGTAAATTTATGATGTGTTTTGAGAATTATGAAGGTGTGGTTGCTGTTATGAGTTGTTGCATGATGAACT